CTTATTATTTGATTTGTAATTTGTAACAAAAATTAAGGACTTTTAATTTATGTCAAGCCAGCCAATCCCCCTCCCATCCAAACAAGAATATATATACACAAATAAATGAAAAATAAATTAATGAAAGTTAAATTTCAAAGAATTATCTCATACAAACTAGAAAACTTGTCTTCTTGATTGCTTCATCTGCATCGTGCATTGTTTATTGTATAAATGTATAAATGCATAATGTAATAGATGACAGATAAGAATGTTAAAAATATCATATACTATAAATTCCACTGATCTTTGTGCCTGAACGACGTAGTAAATCATATAAAATTGGTATTTTTCAGGTAACAGATTATTGCATTTGTGTTTTAAAAACTCATGGTGAAAACAGTATTCATTCGAATATTGAACCAGAGTAAACTTCTTAAAATGTCTAACACATTAGAATGTTGAACGAGACAATACTTCTTAACATGTCTTTCACTTTTTTTAACAAAAAATAAAAGCATTATTTCTAGATCATTGATATCATGCAAAGGACAACCTAGTGTTTTCTTACTTTCTATTTTGCCACCGTTATGTTGGCATTTCAATATGACTTCAATAGGTAAATAATTCCGACTTCGAAAAAAACCGTAATTTTACTGAACATGTATTTAGCTCGTATATTCCTTTTCCAACTTTAAATACCCTTCTTTAATTATGGCAAATTATTGTTGTCTTGATATTGACAATAATCAAAAATGTTATCTAAACATAGAAAAGCAAAATGATGTCTATTTGCAGATTGTTGTATTTTGGGAAACTGTAAAAGCTACAACAGAATGCTATTTCCAGAACAATAAACATTGATTGTATTTTAAAATAATGAAATAACTTCCTTTGACCTAAAAACGAGAAATTAATTTTATTTTAAGGCATAATTATCGATCCCCGAAGAAATATTATATTTTTAGAGCAATTTAAACCAAACAATGTGATTTCTAAGAATTAAAATTTTCTAAAAATATTGCGCTTATTAACCACTTAATTTGCTTTTTATTTGGAATTCAGTATTGTATTCTGTTCTGTAATGTCCATATGATATTTAGAAATTGCATTAATTAATGGTATATCATTTCAACAGACTATAAATTAATTCCTTTTCTATTGTAAGGGAAATAACTAAGTTTTTTTTATCCTACAAGTAAACAGAAGTTATCTGTGCATTTTTGAGAGATGATTTTTTTTATCAACTGATTGTATTCACAATGCATGGGTATGTTTTAAAAGATAATTAAAAAAAAATCATTTAGAGGAAATATATATCCTCAAGGTTATTTTTTTTTGGAAGTATGTGGCATACGTTTGCCGCTTTCATGTATGTTTATTTGTTGAATTAACTTTGGTATATATATATACGTACTCCCTGCTTTTTGGTACCCCAATATAAGTTTTTAATTTCTTTTAAGGAATCTCCTAAATAACTCAGTTACCAGTCATCGGTAGTAAATTGATGAACTTTGCCTATTCAATAAATGGGTGGAATTCTGTTGCCTTCGGTAACAATCCCCTCCTTTATACATTTAAATGTATTATATTATTATTTAGATTTGTAAATACAAAAGAAAAAGTACAATGTTGAAATAATTCTACAATATTACATGCCGGTAAATTTGCATATCTTTTTTTTAAACACTTTTTTTCGATTCGGAAAAAAACCCAAATTGGTGTGGAATTAAAAACGACACACGAACACAAAGATGTTTTGTCTGATTGATAGACGAAAGTTATCAATTTACATTATTTATAATATCATGGCAGTTCAAAGTTTTACTGCAACATTTGGCAATATTTTTATAAAACAAATGCAACACAGTGGCGTAGCTAGACTTATAATGATCTGCACGCAGAAGTTGCCGAGCGAAGCGAGGCAAAAAAATTTCGCCAAGCGGAGCGAGGCGAAAAAAAATTTTGAACCCTTTTTTTACAGAAAATGAACCTTTTTTGGATCTAAGATGGTTAATTTTGAAGTGAAGTATGCACAGCTGAGTGTTTTGCTATACTAGTATATCAAATCAAAGACCTAAAACTGACTAAAAAATTCTAAAAACTTTGCAATTTATTATGCTTCAAAGAAAGAAAGGGCTAGAGAACTGGATCATCTCATGACATATATGTTAACATACGAAAACAAAGCAATTCAAACAATCAATTTTTAATTTGTTTGGTGATATATAAATGTGACGTTCGTATGTAAGACCGTATGTAAGACTGAAGTTAACAACCGAGGTCCTTTAGGAGAGTAACATTTTCATTTGCCTAGCATTGTTAAACGTGTCAATAACTTCTTTAGTGTCAATGTCAAAATCAGAATGAACGTGCAGCAGTGCATGCAAGTGAAGAAAGTCTTTCTTGTCCCATGGTCGATATCAGATACGTTTTTACGCGTTTCAGAGCGCCGAAAGAGCGTCCAGCAGTAGAGGTTGAGGGTGGCATGGTGAGAAGTATTTGCAGAATACAGAATATATTTGGGCAAAGTTCTTTCGGCGTCATCTTCAATGTTGCACAGAGATGGTCTGGTTTCTTAGATGGATAAATATCCCATCGCGCAACCCACCTTTTAATTTTGAGAAGAAACTGATCTTCTGATTGAAGATCGGACTCGTAGGCGCGAAATATGCGAATTTGATGGTCCCGATTCAAACTTTTCAGATTGTTTGGAAGAAGCATCTGGGCAAGAAAACGTTCTTCCGAATTGACAAGACGATCTCGTAGTTCATTAAGTAGATGGTCTAAAAATTGTATATACCGATGTACGCACAACAAAACTGAACTGATAGAAAACACGGAAACCTTTCTGACAAGTTGAAACACCTATATATATAAAGTGACAGTCAATCGCACTCTTTCTTTTTTTGACTGCTATGATTTTTTAAATATGATTTTTTTTGTGGCCATTTCGTTTGTGCACGCAAGTGCGTCGTTGCGTCAATGGTAGCTACGCCACTGCAACATCAGGGCTCTCGGTCATACAACTTCACTCAGTTATCGGAGTGCAGAATGTGTGCATGAAACACTCAATCCAGAAAAATAAGTGTCGGATTAAGTTAATGCATATTGAAACTAGGGATTGTATAATACTAGATAGTAAGCCACGCATGCATCGGTTTAAAATCACTCTGAATGAATACTTACGATTTCTGAGTACTTCAAAGTCATCTATAGAGATGGGCGGGAAGTAATTACGGCCTGGGTAAAAGTAGATTTAAAAGGCTTAAATTGTCTTAATCACATTACCGTCCTCTTTTACAAGATTGTGACATGGCGGAATGAGATTAATTACCATGAGCAACACGACGGGTGTCAAATGTGGAGCAGGATCTCCTTACCGTCTGGAACATCTGATATTACCCGGTTTCTTGTGGGGTTAATGAGGCTCAGTCTGTAGTCTTTTATGTAGTGTTTTCTCGACTTATTTGTCTTATTTTTTGTTGTTTTTCGTGTTTGCCATGACTTTGTCAGTTTCCCCTTTTGTATCTTTCTTTTTTCAACGAAAAGAAGCGTAGGATGACCGGGAATAAGGGGTCTGCATAAATTTGATTTAAAACCACAAATGACGGCTTACTCCATTATTGATGTAATGTTTAATATGACAATACAAGAACTTTAAAATGGCGGTTTTGGTGAAGTCTGCTGTCTGTTGTCTTGTCCTTTGTCTTCCCTGGAGTTTTCTGTTCATGTCTTTAGGCAGAGCTTTCTGTGGTGTCCATTTCTTTAGGCAGAGGTTTCAGTGGTGTCCATTGTTTGGGGTTGAGCTTGCTGTGGTGTCTATTGTTTTTGGTGGAGCTTGATGTTGTTTTCATTTTTCTGGTGGAGCTTGTTGTGGTGTCCATTGTTTTGGTTGAGGTTGCTGTGGTGTTCAACGTTATTAGTTGATCTTGCTGTGGTGTCCATTGTTATTGGTGTAGCTTGCTGTGGTGTCCATTGTTATTGGTGTAGCTTGCTGTGGTGTCCATTGTTATTGGTGTAGCTTGCTGTGGTGTCCATTGTTATTGGTGAAGCTTGCTGTGGTGTCTATTGTTTTTGGTTGAGCTTGCTGTGGTGTCCATTGTTATTGGTGTAGCTTGCTGTGGTGTCCATTGTTTTGGTTGAGATTGCTGTGGTGTTCATTGTTATTGGTGTAGCTTGCTGTGGTGTCCATTGTTATTGGTGTAGCTTGCTGTGGTGTCCATTGTTATTGGTGTAGCTTGCTGTGGTGTCCATTGTTTTGGTTGAGATTGCTGTGGTGTTCATTGTTATTGGTGTAGCTTGCTGTGGTGTCCATTGTTATTGGTGTAGCTTGCTGTGGTGTCCATTGTTATTGGTGTAGCTTGCTGTGGTGTCCATTGTTATTGGTGTAGCTTGCTGTGGTGTCCATTGTTATTGGTGTAGCTTGCTGTGGTGTCCATTGTTATTGGTGTAGCTTGCTGTGGTGTCCATTGTTATTGGTGTAGCTTGCTGTGGTGTCCATTGTTATGGTGTAGCTTGCTGTGGTGTCCATTGTTATTGGTGTAGCTTGCTGTGGTGTTCATTGTTTATATTGGTGTAGCTTGCTGTGGTGTCCATTGTTATTGGTGTAGCTTGCTGTGGTGTCCATTGTTATTGGTGTAGCTTGCTGTGGTGTTCATTGTTTATATTGGTGTAGCTTGCTGTGGTGTTCATTGTTTATATTGGTGTAGCTTGCTATGGTGTCCATTGTTATTGGTGTAGCTTGCTGTGGTGTCCATTGTTATTGGTGTAGCTTGCTGTGGTGTTCATTGTTATTGGTGTAGCTTGTTGTGGTGTCCATTTTTCTGGTGGAGCTTGCTGTGGTGTCTATTGTTTTTGGTTGAGCTTGCTGTGGTGTCCATTGTGTTTGGTAGAGCTTTCTGTATTGTCCATTATTTTTTGTATTTCCTGTTATGTTTGTTTTTAAGTATTACATAACAATAGCATGTATGAGATATTTCATACTGATAATTTTCATCAAAGAAACACTTTCATCTCTTTTAAAAACTTTTTTATTTTTCCTTTTAATCCTTCAATATAAAATATACCTTTAACAGTGTAACTTTGCATTCAACATCAACAATTTCATTATAAAGTAAATGTTGGTCAAAACAGTGATGGCAAACACAATTAAAACCATCATAAAAATGTAAGACAAATATCAATGATACAAAACAATAAATATATTTAAATAATTCTACATTCAAAACTGATATTAATAAACACTTATAACAAATATTTCGTAACATAAATTATTAGGATGCATTCCTTCCATTTTATCACTATAAATTTTTAACTCAATAATGCAAGGTTAAATATTCAAAATAAAAGATATCAAATAACATTTAATATAAACCAACACTTTAAGGAAAGAATAGTATTGTTTTTATCTTTCATTACTTTAATGTTATGGTAATACTGGAAATTCAATGAAAAATTTTCCAGGACTCAGTGGCAAGATATATTTTTTTATTTCATGATAAGTCTAATGCTGTCATGGTTTGTTAAACATTTCTTATAAAAACAATTAGAAAAAACTGGAAGACCAAGGCAATTCATATCTTTATATAGACATTTATATTCATAATTACCAATTTTGCGGATTGAGGAAAAGATGTATTTTGTGGATTTTTCATTTCTTGATTTTAGTTAATCAGGTAAAAATTTAATGCTTGCCTGGCATTTCTATCCTGTTCCATGCTACTATCTTTTTTCAAGACAATATTATAGAATTCGTTTAATACACTTCACACTACTCACAAAAAAAAAGTGACTCAGTTTAAAAAATATTTATAGTTGATACAACTTTACTTCACCAATATCAGCTTATCATTAATAATGACTGATTTCAGTACACCAACTAATAAAAAATTGTCACTAACAAATAACTTTCATGTATAAATATGATAAATAAATAATATTTAGACTAGATTCCTTTATATACCCTTGCTGAGGGAGTATTAATACATCTGGGGGAAAAAATACATACTGCAATAGTTTTTAAAATATGAAAAAATTTGGTGTTAAATATCAGGTATTGTTTGAGAAAGATATAATTTTTTTACTAAAATGTTTTTTTAGTCATGTAAACTGTTGCATTACCAGTAGTATCAAATTTAAAACAATTGCAGTTCTAATCTTTCATTTCCTGATTGTATCAAAATGAGACTTGTGATTTCAGATGCACTAGAATAAGGACATGATTATAGGATCATTTACATGCAGTGAACAGTATTACAGTATATTCAAGATTAAAGAAGTTTGAAAAATAAAATTGATACAAAGGCTCTGAAAAATTCTGCATACCATAAGTTTCTGTGTTTTAATGTTTCAAACTTGGAGATGTCCCTCCCTCTTATAAACATGTTTAGTAGGGAAATTTCCTGTACTGTCATTTTCACACCATTTTATGGGCACTTAATCACTATTTCGAAAAAACAACATTCTATTTAAGAAGCTAGTCAATATCATGAAACCTATTTAAAAATATTTCTCAGAAATTGTAATTGTCCTAAAAAAAAAAGGCAAATATTGTGTCAGATTTGATTATAATACTGTTCTCTTTAGATCCGATTTAGGATAGTGTAAAATAAAATAACATTTGTCATCTATGAGAGCATTCTATTTTTACATGATGTACTGTTGATGCATGAAATAGAAAGCATTTGAATATGATGAGTAAATTTTATCTCTTCTTGTTTAAAGGTGACCTACATGGACAATGTCATGGAAGGAAATCCTTCCTTCTCTTTAATATTTAAAAAAAATACAGAAAAATCACTGAAACAATGATCTCTTAAAAAGTTTATGATAAGATAAAAAGCAACAATGCATTCCAATTGCAAAGATGGCAAATTCAACAACTATAAATTCTTAATACTGCGGGTGAGATTCCAGAAAGCTTGAGAATGATCAGAAGGCTCCCTCCCATCGATATTGGTCAATCACCTTAATGGTAAACAATAGGATTTGAACCATGTCCAACAGGTGATGAGTCCAATGATATAGGACAGTTGTTTGATGTGGAAGATACAAGAAGATACTTCTTCAAACTAAAATTTAGTCAAGCAGAGGGGAAAAAACCCAAATATAGTCATCAATACCAAAACAACAAATAAATTCAACATATTTCAATTTCATTCAGAACATACTGGATAGCAAGCTAAAGCCAATGAAGGTAATCTCACATCAACAAATCTATGATTAGTTATAAAATAAGTATGCAGATATCTTTTATCAAATGAATTCCTGCACCCTTTTGTTCAAACAAATGATATTCATATTGCATCATCATAAACAATTACCCGAAGTAGAAGAAAAATATCATAGTTGATAAAACCAAAAATGCTTATTTTATCACCAATTTCTTTTGAAAACAGAAAAAAAATCTGTTTGTTCCTGTTGTATAAAGGGTGACAGAAACTAAATGTTTGCTGTACATAATAATTCATTTGAAATTTTTTATTAAGACTCACTCAGAACAGGTTGCTCCAATGCTTTAAATATCTAAATATAAAATATGTAACAAAATTTATAAGTGTCCCATTCAATTATAATCATTTCTGCAACAGTCTTCAAACACATGATTATGTAATAATTGTGGAATTTAAAAGTAAAACTTCGGTTCAACAATAATGCTTATTAAAAAAACATGATTACTAACTTGAGCAATAAAATATATTAATATATCTGGTTTAAACAAAGTAAAAAGAATATTACTGTTTAGGTTTTTTCTTCAAAAATTTCTAAAATTCTAAAGTACACAATTTTCTTTATTTAAAGAGCCAAAACTTAAAAGACTTGGTCTATACTAACCATACTTTGTTTCCCACAAGGAAAGTCAAATAGGATGAACAAACATACGTTTTTTGTACAGCTAAAAAGTTTTTCACATGCTATGAAAAGTACATACATGTTTTAATTTTTCTAATGCATATTCAAAACCTGTTGAAATAAACCATGCATAAACCAGAACCTAGATTTAACTAAAATAGGTTATACAGTAAATATTCTGAAGTAATGAAACCTCTGTAAACCAAACTACTGTGGATTCATATAATTTCATGGGTACCAATTTTCGTGGATTTAAAAATTTTGTTGTTTTAAGAAAGTTTGCATATGAGTCTATTGAAAATTTCTGCTTCATTCAACATTTAAAATTCTTTGTTCTTTACCTGTACCCAATAAATCCCCTAAAATTAGTATCCCATGAATAATAATGAATCAACATTACGTAAAAATAACTAAAAATTCAGTTTAAAAGGGGTTTTGTTTGGACAGGTTTCACTTTGACAGAATGGCTACAACATAATGATATTCTAATTTTTTTATCACAGTTTAAAAATGAATTAACCTCAAATGAGTAGTCAAAAAAAGAGAACGACAATAAAAAACAAATAGTTTCTTAGATAGATCTCTCTGCATTGCGTAAATTATATATAAACATTTATATCACACATGATGAACTCCTCTGGAATGCAAATCTGAAAGTCCAAAACTGCCTCTTTCTTTTTCCTGTTTCATTGGTGGAAGTAACGTCACATGATCCATTTGTATTTGATTCTGTAACAATATATGATCATCAGGATGGACATATCCATTTTCTCGGAGATTAGACATACTTTTGGAATGAGGAAGACTGCCTTTATAATGTGCATTGAGATTCGAGTCACTATGAATATACGGTAGGATCGTCTCTCTCTTTCTTGCTTGGTTTTGGTCATATTTAGCCTGAAAATATGAATATAAGAATGATCAATAGTTAACTCAAGTGATTAGTACAAGTTAAACTTTCAACTTTTTTATGTGGTTTATCTTGAGTTCTTGATCAAATAAAGTTGGCACCTAAAATAATTTTTTGGCAACTCTCAAAGCTTTAAGTAAGGGTGCCTTATACTATTGCTTTAATAGTTATCAGCTTTAAGCTTGAAATGTTTGTTCAATTGTTTAATAAAAAAATTCTGGACATCTTAAAACACAATAAATTTATTGGCAGAGAACACAGGGGTATAAGCTACCAGAATGTATTTAAAAAAATATCAAAATGTTAGCCTGTATAAATTGCATTCAATCTAGAATAATTTCATAAATAACCAGAGAAAATTAATATATCAACATAAGATAAACAGTCAAGAGCATCAGGTCAACATTCATTTTTTTGTAAATGTCAAGTGACACTGTACATGTATAATAAACTAACTTTTGTCTACTTAATCTGAATGAACTATTTGCCACTAGGTGTTAATCAAACAAAAATCAATCAATCAATCTTAAACTTATTGGTCTTTGGTGGAAAGTTGTATCAATGGCAATCCTACCACATCTTATTTATATGTTCAAATACTACTGTAATCTGAATTTGTACAGGTATTTACAAATTATTCCATTATATCATTTAGCCACTGGTGCCTACATTTAAGACTGAATTGAGCTTGATGTTTATAATCCTTACTCTCAAAAAGTCAGAAACACAGTTTTATTAGAAGTGAAAATCAGAGTTAATTTCAAATATTCTTTCGGGGCATTTTAAATAGAGCTTGCAAAAAGAATTGACATTATTCATTAGTATCTACACACACATTTATATATATAATAGATATATGGTTTTAAACAATAAATAAAACATCAACTGGAAGAAAAGATAAATATAAACTGAGAAGTTTTTGAAGTCAGCATGCAAACAAAAAGTTTATTGTCAAGAACTTGGCAATCATTCAAATTATTTTTACGTTTTTTTAGTATGTTATTTTCAGAAAAAGACAATATAATGAATATTTAATATTAAGTGCCAACCTGAAATTCTATATAGATGTAAAAAGACCAAAATAAAAAAGATGAATTGTGCCTGAAAGAGATTATGTGCATGAAAAGTACATACATAATAAAATAATTTGCCACATGCAAATACATACCAAAATATCTAAGCATTTTTCCTATGATACTTTACACACGCTCGTTTGTACATAAAAAAATTCACTTTCTATTTATTTAAAAGTTCAAAAACAAAAAAGCAAGGTCCCAGTATGTGCAAATAATTCCCTCTGGATAAGGATTAAAATTTTAAAATGTAAAACATATCACACTATCTGAACACCTCTTCAATGAATATATAAATCTGAAAATCCAAAATTCCCTCTTTCATTTTCTTTATACATTGTGATCATTATTATGTAATTTTGGCCCACTCTTTGAATGTGAAAAGCTACTATTTGAAAGTGTTTTAATGCTGCTATCACTTTGAATTTGTGGCAAAATTTGTTGTCTCTTTCTCTCTCGATTTTGGTCAAATTTTGCCTAGAAAATCAAATAGAAAAATTAAAAAAGACATAATTATTATAAATTCCTAATACTTATTTTTTTCTTTTCAATATACATGATATATAACTGTGTATTAACAGTTTAGAAAAATAAGAGAGGTCTTTCTTGAAATTCATAGATGAAAGAAAAAATAGGAAGCATAAAACAGACTATTAAGTTTCAGCAGCTGCCTTTAGTGCTCTAAGGAGTAAAGGAGATATTTATAAATTCTTAAGAGCGATGCGTTACATTTGAGCAAATTCATCCTACGTTTGCCTGAAACACATCCATGTTTGCGCCACAAAAAGCATTAAGTTTGCGTGGATTAATTAAAAAAAATTATAAAAAAGAAATCCTTCGACTTTTTATGAACAAATTATGATTTCCAAAATTAAACAAATTGACTTTTAATTAAAATAAAATGCTTCGCTGGGCGCAGCTTGATACGACCGCAGAGGTCGAACCCTGAACAGTTGGGGCAAGTATGGACATAACATTCAAGCTTGATACAGCTCTGAATTTGGATTGTGATTAAATATTTGACACAGCATAGGTTTCTGACACAGAAAGAATGTGGTCTAAGAACTTCAATTTTTTTAATTTACCTATTATGGTCCAATGTCCAAAATCAAAATACATGGTTAGATTCAGCATATCAAAGAACCCCATATATTCAATTTTTGTTGAAATCAAACAAAGTTTAATTTTGGACCCCAACTTGGACAAACTTGAAAACTGGTCCCATAATCAAAAATCTAAACACATGTTTAGATTCAGCATATCAAAGTACCCGAAGAATTCAATTTTTGTTAAAATCAAACTAAGTTTAATTTTGGACCCTTTGGACCTTAATGTAGACAAATTTAAAAAACGGGACCCAAAATTAAAAATCTAAAAACACGGTTAGATTTGGCATATCAAAGAACCCCAATAATTCAATTTTTGATGAAATCAAACAAAGTTTAATTTTGGACCCTTTTGACCTCAATATGAACCAATTTGATAGCGGGCCCACAAATAAAAAATCTAAATACATGGTAAGATTCAGCATATCAAAGAACCCCATATATTCAATTTTTGTTAAAATCAAACAAAGTTTAATTTTGGACCCCAATTTGGACCAACTTGAAAACTGGGCCAAAAATCTAAAATCTATATACATGTTTAGATTCAGCATATCAAAGAACCCCATATATTCAATTTTTGTTGAAATCAAACAAAGTTTAATTTTGGACCCCAACTTGGACCAACTTGAAAACTGGTCCCATAATCAAAAATCTAAACACATGTTTAGATTCAGCATATCAAAGAACCCCAAAAATTCAATTTTTGTTAAAATCAAACTAAGTTTAATTTTGGACCCTTTGGACCTTAATGTAGACCAATTTAAAAAACAGGACCCAAAATTAAAAATCTAAATACACGGTTAGATTTGGCATATCAAAGAACCCCAATAATTCAATTTTTGATGAAATCAAACAAAGTTTAATTTTGGACCCTTTTGACCTCAATATGAACCAATTTGATAGCGGGCCCACAAATAAAAAATCAAAATACATGGTAAGATTCAGCATATCAAAGAACCCCATATATTTAATTTTTGTTGAAATCAAACAAAGTTTAATTTTGGACCCCAATATGGACCAACTTGAAAACTGGGCCAAAAATCTAAAATCTAAATACATGTTTAGATTCAGCATATCAAAGAACCCCATATATTCAATTTTTGTTGAAATCAAACAAAGTTTAATTTTGGACCCCAACTTGGACCAACTTGAAAACTGGGCCCATAATCAAAAATCTAAACACATGTTTAGATTCAGCATATCAAAGAACCCTAAGAATTCAATTTTTGTTAAAATCAAACTAAGTTTAATTTTGGACCCTTTGGACCTTAATGTAGACCAATTTAAAAAACGGGACCCAAAATTAAAAATCTAAATACACGGTTAGATTCGGCATATCAAAGAACCCCAATAATTCAATTTTTGATGAAATCAAACAAAGTTTAATTTTGGACCCTTTGGACCTCAATGTGGACCAATTTAAAAACGGGGCCCAAAATCCAAAAACTTAATACACGGTTAGATTCAGCATATTAAAGAACCCCAAGAATTCAAGAATAAAACCCCATTGAAATTGATCAAGAAATAAGCAATTTATACGAAGTATCTTCTTTTGCACAATACTGTGCAATTGAATATTTCTTGCTATTGCGCAATACTGTACAATTGACAATTTCTTGCTATTGCGCAATATTGTGTTATTGGATATTTCTTGCTATTGCGCAATACTACTAAATTGAAGATTTCTTGCTATTGCGCAATACTGTGCAATTGAAGATTTCTTGCTATTGTGCAATACTGTGCAATTGAAAATTTCTTGCTATTGCACAATACTTATTATATAATAATTTACACATCCTGTTTGGTGTGTATCTCCTACCATATCATTATTATTTGCTTTTAAATATAAATCAGAAATAACCAACTTAAAATGGAAAATTTTAAAAGAAAAAAAAAAGGAAAAAAAGAAAAAAAAAAAAAAAAAAAAATCCCCCCCCCCCCAAATTTTTTGAACCCCCTTATGATTCATCACCCCCAAACTCAATCCCAGCCTTCCCTTTGTGGTATGGTACCTTGCAGTACAATTTCAGAGAGATCCATACACTTGAACACAAGTTATTGTCTGGAAACTAGAAAAATGCTTATTTTTGGCCCCTTTTTGGCCCCCAATTCCTAAACGTTTCGGGCAATTACCCCCAAACTCAATTCCAGCTTTCCCTTTGTGATATGGAACCTTGTAGTACAATTTCAGAAATATCCAAACACTTACACACAAGTTATTGTCATGAAACTAGAAAAATGCTTGTTTTTTGCCCCTTTTTTGGCCCCTAATTCCTAAAATTTTGAGGCAATTACCCCCAAAATCAATTACAGCCTTCCCTTTGTGATATGAAACCTTGTTGTACAATGTCAGAGAGATCCATACACTTACACACAAGTTATTGTCTGAAAGTTACAAAAATGCTTATTTTTGGCCCCTTTTTGGCCCCTAATTCCTTAACTGTTGGTATCATAACCCCCAAAATCAATCCCAACCTTCCTTTCGTGGTATTGAACCTTATGGTGAAATTTCATGGAGATCCATTCACTTAAACTAAAGTTAGAGTGCGAAAACCAATGTGTCTTCGGACGACGCCGGACGACGCCGGACGACGACGACGACGTCATACCAATATACGACCAAAAAATTTTTAATTTTTGGGGTCGTATAAAAAAGAAAAGAAATTAATTGTAACTGCTTTATTGGTCATCTCACATATACTTGTTTTAAAATGATTGATCTGTTCTCACTAATTGTCTGCCCATATACAAGTTGAAAATCCACTAACAAGATGGACTTTACTATCTCTCAAACAAATAAAAGAAACAAGAATGTGTCTATAGTACACGGATGCCCTACTCGCACTATCATTTTCTATGTTCAGTGGACCGTGAAATTGGGGTCAAAACTCTAATTTGGCATTTAAATTAGAAGGATCATATCATAGGGAACATGTGTACTAAGTTTCAAGTTGATTGGACTTCAACTGCATCAAAAACTACCTTGACCAAAAACTTTAACCTGAAGCGGGACAGACGGACGAACGGACTAACGAAGGGACGAACAGATGCACAGACCAGAAAACATAATGCCCCTACTACTATCATAGGTGGGGCATAAAAAGTCCCATGATTTTTTTATGCATAAACTTTTTGTATTGATACTAAGTTAAAAAATGGAGACATTTTCTGGAGATGCACAAATTTTTGTGCAAATGTAGACAGGAATTCCTGACGGGAACAAATGAATGTAACCATTATATTGATTAAAGTAAATTAAAAAGACAGCAAATTGTAACAAAATAAAAATGAATACTTCTGACATTTCCCCACATTCGTCGAAAATTATTCGTCAAGAACTACAGACAAATGATGCTTGTCATATTCAAATTCGCGCAAATATAGGTCGCACCTTAAGAAAAATAAAGGCAGTAAGTATTTAAAATTAACCCTTATGCAGTTGTAACTTGAGAATTAAAAATAGAAAAAAAGGAAAGACTTTGATAAAGACATATAAATAAAAAGAATGGATATACATTTTTGAATGTCAATTATCAAAAAATAATTTATGTCATTTAATGTTAAATTGATTGAAAGCAGATATCACATGAAACTAACTAGACTGTTTACTGATTAGTTATCTCCCCTTTATCAATTGGAATGAAATAATTCCTTCTGTCATGCTATGCCTACTTTAGGTTAGTGTATAGCCAAGCAATAAATATAAATTTTTTTTTTATGAGAAATTAGCTCATATTCAATAAACTCTGAATTTTTTAGTAGAAATTCTTCAGTTCAATATTAAGTTCTATTTGTGAAAGTAACCATAAAATAATTAGTCATTTAAATTCAAAGATGATGCTATCTTGTATAACACAGTTTTTCAAAATGAAAATACCCCCCTCCCAGAAAAAAAAAACAAGAATGTTTCCCCATAGGTCATTATTCCCCTTTGGCACTTACATTTGTACCTAATATGTGACCGAAGGACTACAAACAAACAGACAGACTGGAAAAGCTAATGCCTTTCTACCATCGAAGGCAAGACATGGAAACTGTGAACAAATACATATTTTTCATACTAACCTTGTTATAAACTAATACCCCAAATATTGCAATCATCATTCCAACAAAATTAGACATAGTAATAGGGTTCTGTAAAACGAACAGGGAAGCACCAATAATAACCACTCTCTTTGTGGCATTAGCTACAGCATAACTTAGCGTAGTCACCATAGCCAGGACAGTGAAGGCAAATACATTCTGTAACATGCTGAACAAGCCATCAAAAAACAATAATAATACTGGGGTGGTCAGTGATTTTCCCTCTACCTGTAATGAAAACATATAATTTAAGCCATACAAATAAATTTACCAATATTGGTTTCACAGACAAATTCTAAAAAAAAATTGTTGGGGCAGGGAGGAATTCTTTTAATATTGCATCAGAAACTATCTGGCATGAAACAAAACAAACAGAGATGCCATCTTCATTGCACATTATTCAATATACTGCTTTTTTAATTGTCTTAAATTAAAACATTCATGAAAACGCTTCTTTGACCAAGATTTTGTAATATGGAAATGGAAGAATTCCATATTTTGCCGATTTAACGTCCAAACTACATTTTACTTCACTGTACAAATATTTGCTTTATCTGATCATTCTAAAAGATATGACTTCATCTCATATGTGAAAATATCTTAATTTTGAAATGCGTCATCATGCTGAGACAACATTTTAAGAAAAAAATTGCTATCACTGCTTGCTTGGAATGAATTGTGCATTGCCATATTGACCCTTATATAGCATTCATAATGTCAAAGGTGACATCTATTTGGCTATTTATCTTTTTAAGCATTCATTTTATTGTCTCGTGTACATGTACCATTTACAAAAAGGTGTATACTCACTACTGTATCATCACTGTAAATAATTTTTCTGAAGTCAAACATCAACCAAACAGGGAAGAAACATAAAGCTGATATTCTACACAGTAACACTAGTAGTCGTAAATGATGAAGACCAGTTTCATGTAGGCACTGAAAAAAAGAATATTATATACTCTGTATTTGATGGATTCATGCAAGTACTGGGTAATTCAGTTTAAATCACACTATACCAAGACAGAATTTACTGATTATAATGATAAATTGACCAAACACAAACTTTAAACATGTAAATAATAAACTATGCAAAAGTCAATGTACAATGGTTCATGACTTAGTATCAAATAATATCCATGGAAATAAGATGTGCCAATGCTAAAAAAAACTGCATACCAATTATTCTTTACTTAGCATTGGTAGAACTTTCTCCTTAATTAGACCAAATCATGAACTTAAAATCAATTGTTGAGGCCGCCAGAAACAGCAGACTTAAGTCTCTCAGAGGAGATGGAATTTGGTTTACATTTTCACTGTGAAACAGGGTGATTGGAGCGACAAAACTCTGATTATTTTTACCTGTCATATTATACACATTAAATATAGTCACAATACTTACCTTTTTAGAGAAAATTGTCATTAATGAGAATCCTAGTGTAGCACCAAGAGCACTAAGTAATCCCATAAATTCAAATGATACTTCTGTTAATGTAGCAATGATAACACCTCCAATAATAGGCAGTAATGATAAATATACCTGAAAAAAAGAAATAAAAAATTCTTGTTTCGAATCATTTGTTTCATATCTTATTTTTGGTAAGTATCAGTAATTTTTAAGGAAACCCAGTTGTTCAAAGAGCTATTTTACAGACTCTTAGTCACTATCTTTGTGATTTTAAAATCTTACAAAAACTGGAAAAATTGTTTTGGTTTGGTTTTTCAGTCATGGACACTATAAAATGTCCTTCTTTTATTTGCAGTCTGTGACTGTCCTAATAAAAGTACATCAGTTTTACAAGATTTACAGGCTAATAAAAATAAAATATTTAAACCCATTTATAGAAATATAATGTATAAAGTTCTTAATTTTGTTTTCCTTACTATATAAGTTTAAAACAATAATACAACAACTTATCCCTCCAAATTTACGCCAGTATTTATGAGTTACCTACTTCAAAATGTCTTTTTAAGTTTCATTTTTTACTGATCACCTAATGTCATGAATGTACAATGTATCCTGTGTTGTGGTTGAAAAAATTCAGTTTTCATATACTTACTGGCAATGTTTGTGTTTCCCCAAGCAGAACTCTTGAAAGAACAACAGTAAATAATGGCAAGGTGGCTTTCACTAAAAAAGTTATAAACATATGTTATTAATTCAAAAGCTTAAGGTATTAACATGTATACAAAATGCTAATTTTTCATATTTTCCCAAAATGTTTTTCAAATTGTGCAATTTTAAATTCATGGTAAAAAGTGTAAGTCACTATATGTATGTTAGTCTTAAAGCTTTAAGGCTTTAAGTACAAGCTGTGAAATGTTAAAAATGTGAAATTAACAGAAAATAATTTCTGAAATGTATGAGAATATTGTTCCAAGTTCATTCATTTATTAATTGTACAGCCCGTCTAAAAATGCAATTGTTTCTTTCACTTAGTCCAATTAGGTGGAAATAAATGTACATGTAGACCTAACATTCATCCAACAATAAGGGAGTCTGATATAAGAAATGTTTACTTTGCAGTAAAAAAAAGAGGAAATGCAGTATGATTGCAAAGAGAAAACTATCCAACAGAGTCCAAATAATGTGGATTTAAGCAATCATTTGGTACAGTATGGCCTTTAAAAATTACAAACCCCATACCCAAACCATATACATTGTAGTCAGCTGTAAAAGCCCTATTTAATGTGTACTGTACAATGTACATGGTTGATTGTATTTTATGATATTTATTTTAACCATGTACCAATGTACATGATGTACAATTTCTTTTGTAAAATAAAATTATTTTCTGCAGCTTAACATCTGTGGCTAATTGTTTACCCATTTGCAGGATTACTTTCATTATATTGCATGGTTAAACATATTGTGATTTGAAAACTGACGTTTTCTTTCGCTACTTTACATTTTTACATGTAATTTATGCTAACATTCATTAAGATCATGTGATTTTTTTTCAACGATTTTTATCATGTTTACATGTACATTCTTGAGTATTGACAAGCATGTCTTTAATGAATTGATACATGTACATGAAGCATTCTTGTATGACATGATGAACAAAATGAATTGTCGGGTACACTTTTGAATGTGTCAATGAAACAGCTACCCACCAATCAAAAACCAAAAGACAACTGCATCAGCATGTACATGTATGGTCATGTATGCTCCTAAACATATTCAACAATAGAAAACTTCACAAGGCAGAGTACTATACAACACATCATGCACATGTAGCAATTAAAGCTCTAAATCTCCTAGTATAGAAAGTAAATAATTTTATCAGAATAGTTACTGTACTGGGATGATGTCTTTTTCAACTCTACCTGCAACTCATTTCCCCTGTATATGATGAATACATGTACATATCTCCTTATTGATAAATTGTCAGTAAATGTTTTCATACTTTTGTAAGAAGAAACACTTGATTTTTAATTGGTTCTTTTTCTTATTGTAATATAAATTAAAGAAATATAAAGACAACATACACATATATTACATGAACAAACAAGTAGATTATAAAGCCATGTACATGTAAATATAAATGTACTGAGTGAACAACAAGGATACAAAATTATGACAATGTATACAATTTATAGTGCCATTAGTGGTGTTGATTTGAGCAGGATACAGTTGAATTGTTCATTAAAATAAAATTGCAACCATCATTTACTTTAATTATCACCAAATTCTTTTATATTTACTTACCAGTGTGAGCATATGAAACAGAAACTATCCAGATGCTGACATGAGAAGACAGTGATGACAAAAATTTTCCCAATGCAAGTGGAATAATCATGGTGAAGTAATATTTTTTAGGAACATTGCCTGTGTGAGGGACACCTAAAAGTCCTAGGATCGGGCCTAAATAAACTGCTGCTGATGTAAGCTGCACGAGAGTCACTGTCATAGGATACGGAAATTCTGTCAAAACTAACTTTCCAATAATATTTCCGCTCGCACTGGAAATGTACCATACAATGCACACCAAGACCAGCTTGATGCCATAAAATATGGCCTCACTATCCATGGCCAGTTTTTTGAGTGAGCAGATTACATTTTCCTTGCGTTATACTGTAGAAAACATGTATACAGTTTTGTCAAATGTCAACATCTGGTAGTTTGTACACGTGTGACGTTGCCGACGATAAAAATAGTCAGCGGTGAATTTAAGCTGATCTCCAACAGGATATAAATAACTTTATTTAATATATAACTGAAAATTTTATAAAAATACAATAACTTGAAATAATAAAAATTCAAATTTAAAACATCTGATTATTTCATATTCAAATAACCCTTTTTTATCATGTAATTTGTATCGGTACTACAATATGTCAGCGACCATCAAGTTTGACAGATGAAGGTTTAAAAGAATATGTCCCACCACAGCCATAATAATGAGGAGATGGAAATATCTTAAACCCCTTTGCATTGCTGCTGCATTTTTTCTACTCCTCCAATTCTTTGTATTGATTCATTTAAGTTCAAACCAGGTGAATATTGGTCATCAAACGGTTATTTCAACAAGGGAGATAATTTTACATATTTTTCTCTCTCTCAAATTATTGATTAGCTGTGAATATATAATAGCTGAATAGCTGAGAAGTATCACAAACCCAGTTTCAAAATCTTATTTTGACGTTATGGGTAAATTTAAAAGTTTAGGAGGGGTATTTACATAAATTACCTGTGGAGAGTAGGTAAAATTTCCCGAGTTCAACTTCAAGACTGGTATTTTTTAAATCCCAAACCACTTTGGATGAGAGTTTAAAAAAAACATTGCAATTATATGTTCATTTTCATTTTTTTATATGTTTGGCTCCGTTAAAACTAAAAATTTCAACTGTCATCTATAAAAGTTGTTAAAATAACAATATTCAATAGATTTATGGTTCAACTGGCGGTAACAAGACATTTCGGCACCCAGACAAATCTGCACCCAGGTCTGAAGACATTTCGGGATCAGGACATTTCGGGACCAAGACAATTCGACACCTCATTTTTCTCTCTCTCTATATATAAAGAAAAATAAAAGAATTGTTACAGTAATAGTATAATCGTAGATACATTTTAAATATTTCATTACTATCATATGTTCACCTTTTATGCAAATCTAGTGCTGTTAATGCATCCATAAACTGTTGAATATAATTATAATAAATATTAATAAAATAAATATTATAAGTAACTATGCTACATGTGTTTTATTGATTTAGAATACTATCGGAATAGAACTATGCATAAATTAAAACTAGTACATGAATGGTGAAATCTATAAAATCAATTTTCATGCATCAGGAAAAAGAATACACACAAATAAGACAGCTACCCAAATGACTTGGCTGCAATACAGTCTTCACAAATAAACAACAAAAAGAATAAACCACTTCATAAGATACTTCTTCGAAGATACCATATACATAATGTCATAAATAGTGCAGGAATCAAATTGGTAATTTGTAAAAACAGTCGAAAATAATTGCTATATTAACACTAAAGTTGCAAATTGAGTTCATAGATATAGGAAGATGTGGTATGAGTGCCAATGAGACAACTCTCCATCCAAGTTACAATTTATAAAAGTAAACCATTATAGGCATGCCCACATACCTATATCAGTGCCAGGTAACTTTAATTTTTGGTTCATATAATTATTTTGATCAAAAATTTAATAATTGATGTTATCTTTATGAGGTGCCGATTTGTCTATGTTAGATGCCGATTTGTCCAGGTGCCGATTTGTCTGGAGGCCGAAGTGTCTTTCTGGGGTGCCGATTTGTCCGGATGCCGATTTGTCTGGGTGCCGAACTGTCTAGAATTCTCAACTGGCCAAATGGGGAACCATTTCTCAAATGAGTTACAATCCTTGATTGTTTTCTTGCTTCAAGTCTTTTTACTTAAAATGACACAACTTTATAGAAAAGTAAACCTGATCAAAAGAGGTGATTAAGTTAATTAAACATTTGAAATTTTATCTCCAATTTTATCTCCATCATATGTCCATTATACATCCCTCATAATCAACACATTAATTGTTTAAAGCCGCCAAAATTGAAATTGAAACTGACCATGTCAGACATACAGTTGCTTTCTAATAATGTCAGTATTTTCCATTGAAATTGCAGTACAGAGATTGTTTTGCATGCCAAATTTTGCTTATTTTCTACCTACATACATGTATAATATATATCATGTTGATGTACAATAATACAAATTGTTTATTTGTTTTAGGGTGATGCAGACACCCATAGCCATAATGGCAAGGTAAAGTATGCATTTGTATAGAAAGTTGTACCTCAGCATGAACTCATGTCTTTCAAATTTTCATGATGTTGCTTTCTAAAATCTACTCATAAAAAGGTACAGTCACTGATATTAGAATTTAGGAAAGCATTAATTATATTATTTCAATAGCAGCAGGATAATGAACAAATCATCTGTATTCAACAATTAGTTTTAAAATCTTTTTTTAAATCAATTACAAAAAAATTCATTGAATAAAAATGTAAATGAAATAGTTTTATAATATGAAATAGGAAATTTCATGTCTGAAAAGTAAATGAACATTATGGACATCTGAAAAACCTTCAGGTTCAGCAACACCACAATTACTAGTTTAGCATGAAAAGTGGATTTAAACTTAGGAGGAATGTCATCATCCGTGATATGATATTTAAATCACTATAGTTACACCTGACCCAGTTTTGTAACAATATTTTACAAAGACAAATCAAGTATTGGTATTACATTGTATAAATTATTTATAGTTAGTCATATGAAACGAGTTTCTTGTAATTTCAATGTTATCTAAATTATTGAACCAATGAATGCTGGTATACTAAACTAAGTCCTGCATGCACGTTTTTTATTATATTTAATATGAATTTATAACGTATTATCGTTAAATAACATTTCATTCAGTGATTGTTGATTGCAAGCTAATTAACTTTCGAGTTTGTTGCTGAAGTTTACCGGATCGTGACATTGATAAACAATCAACATAGAGCATGTGGAGCATGTGACAAATAAGTGAATTGAAAGAGCCATGATAATTGTTTTTTATATTTTCTATGTGTTCCGATCCAATTTGTTAATAAAACTTTTCCTGAACAGTTGTACATGTGAAATGATTTGTTGTATTAAATTTGTTCTTTAAGAATCAGTTATTACTATTGCAAGTGCAAGTTTGTTTACATTCTTTCATTTGGTTTTCCCCTCGCACTTGTGCTGTGAGGTGGCTGAAGTTCTAGCGACATGTCTTGAAGTTAAGGTCACTGCATACAGGAAAATATCTGCAAATTAGTATAAAATAAGACAATAATTCAATAGCAGTACATTTATGCAGATTTTTACAAGAAAGTTGATGTACACTTGTTTTATAGTAAAACCTAGCCATTCAAGTACATGTATATAAAACATTTTCAACTTTTTTTTAAAATTTGAAGTTTCATATGACTTTAAGAAAATTAAATTAACACAATGAATTTTAAATCTTTATGTTTTAGATAGTGGTTGAGTTATTGCAGAAGTCATGGACTGACAGTCCCTTGTTTCTAATAGAGCCTTCAATCTTATCAGCAGTGTCAGCTGGAACCAACTCAAAAGAAGATTGTGTTTATTTGTGTAATAATAACAAAGTTATTACATTTGGTATTATTGGAAACCAGTCCAAAACTTTGGTAAATAAATATAACAATAGTAAATACATATATGTACAATTTATTGTTCTTTTTTTCACAGTTAGACATAAATGGTTACATCAGCAATGTATGAAAACAAACAAAAGTTTATTGATACTATTTAAAGATTATTGGTTGTTAAGAAAAGGAAGATGTCCATCAATAAAGAATTGATATTCAATGAAATTATAATATTGTGTCTTTTAGATATAGTTTTCTATTGTTTGTGGTTACTTATATTCATTGAGGTAATGTTGACTGCAGTTTGATAATTTTGGGAACAGTTGATTTTTTTTAGCTGAAAAAAGAAAATTTAAATAACTGTTTTTCTGTCTCTGTTTACAAACATTTACACAAATATGAATCCTTTTATAAGCACATGTCAACCTATAGGTCACATTTCTGCATGTATTGGTTGATGTTAGTATCATTTGCACTGTCTTAATCCAAGCACTATTTAAATCGTCCAAGTTCTGGATGTGTTAATAGTCAATTAACCTTGAGATGACCAATAGATGTAATTTTTTTGTGATGTTGGGTTGATGAAATTGATTGTCCTTGACATACATGTATACATATGATATCAGATTGCATATTGTATGTAGTTTCTGAAACTAATAGAATAACATTATATATATTTTTTATTTTCAGTCTTTAATGGTTCATAAGTTAAGACAGGATGGTTTTTCAGCTGTAGATTCATCGGATGAACATCCTGATTCACTTAATACCAAAGAAAATAGAATACCAGTCAAAATTACCACACACATTTTTGTTCAACATATGAAATACCCAGAACCAACCATTCATATCGTTGTGTTTTACAACAGAAAACCAGGCTTTTTATGGCACAGTCAAATACAGATTGCAACATCAGATATAGCTTTTGGTTCAACAGCTGGAGCATATGATCTGTAAGCAAGCTAATAGTTATATAACTTGACATACTTTATTTTTGTTTGCTCTTAGGATCTCTTTCAGAATGTTTTCTTACCATTTGAAAAAAAAAACAAACAAAGGATGTCAAGAAGATGACATGTCGAAAGTACCATATTACTATACCCCAGTGAACCTATATGATCTAAATCATATGTTAAAGTGTTGATCAATTTTCATACTAAACTAGTTTGAGTTTTAAAGAGCAGTTATGTGATTTGAAGTCTATATATGTATTTAAACACTATATTGTTGCTAATAGTAATCAGAAAGTCATACAATGATGCCCTGTTATAGTATCACTATACAGGTAAACGTAAGTTCACAGTTAACAATTTGTTATGCTATGTTTTCTTGATAAGCATGTTAGTGATCCTTTAAATGTATCATATATTTTATTTACAGTTTTAATTTACAAAAGAAGACAATAGACAATGTTCAGTTACACGTGCCATCACCTATCACAACATTTCTACAACAAGTGCCTCATTCGGAATTTATTGAATGTAACTATGCAAGAGCTGAAGCTTTCTATATGAAAAACCCAAGAGACAAATCTGAAGCGGCTATACATTTCCAAAGAAAAGCAAGGCAACTTATATCAACAGCACAAAAAGTATTAGATGGTCTTGGTATAAGATTCTGGATAAGTAGTGGTACTACCTTGGGTAAGATTTTTCAAAATTAATTTAATGACATGTTGTCTTAGCATTAATTAAGAAAACTCATTTTGATGCACAATATAAATTTTTCTTACAAATTTGATTTTACTCCTCCAAATTTTCTTGTACTTCAAACTTCAAAACATTCGAGGTAAATTTATGTTGATTTTTCTTTGAGAGAACTTCAAAACATACTCCAGTAAACAAAGATTTCGAATCAATCATTCCATTCGTCAGAGTCAGAAATGCATTAAACAATTGGAATTTTACCAGGACTGACAAATTACCTTGACTTATCCAAGTTTGTCACAATAAATGAATTGTTAACAAGTGTAATGCTTTTCAGATTTTAATTTTGATGACTTTACAATAAATTATTGAGAATATAAAATGCTTAAAATAACTGTTAGATTTAATAACACTGGTTATTATTTCAGGTTGGTTCAGACAGTGTGATATAATACCTTACTCACAGGATGTAGACTTGGGTATATGGATCAAAGATTATAAGCCAGAAATGGTTCAAGGTTTTGAGAAGGCAGGGCTTCCTCTTAGATTTTTATTTGGAAAAGTAAGTAATGTAAATTCGGAAATGTTTGGGATGTTTTTATTATCGCAGAAATTGCTAGAGGATAGCTTTTGCAAAAATATAAACCTGTAAGTTTATTCATCTCTAATTATGCTTCTGTATCAAAGATTGATGTGATATTTGGTCTGGAATTTTATGTTAAGTTGTACAATGTTACTGATGTTCAGATCTGTCAGGCTTTTGACAGTACTATTAATTTTTATTACTGAGCATGGAATTTTTTGTTATTGTTTAACATGAAAAAGACAGTTTGAATATATTTTCAGTTAAAGATCTGAAGTTTATATTGAAACCATTTCTTAATATGAAAGACATTCCAGAGGGAGCCAAATGATTTTTGCCTTATATGTCTCAAAAGTTTATGGACACAAAATATCCTACTTTCATATCCAAATAAAATAATGCTGACAGAAATACTTGCAAAAATTGTGAAATTTTGCAATATCTATTTTATTTAATCTCAAAAACACAACTTCACTAAACATAGACATATTTAATCCACCAAGGTGTCTTCAAACAATGACAGGCACTTACACCAAAGAGCAAGAACAGACCAGAGACAGACACACACATTTGTGGCATGGTAAAACTTGTTTTTTGTGAAGTCTACTTCTCTTGGGAGAAAAATGAAAATATTAAAAACTTTTCTCTTTTTCAGTTAATGTTATCAATGAATTTTACAGGTAGAAGACAGTTATCAAATGGCATTCTTATCAGGGGAAGTCAAACTTGACATATTTTTCTTTTATGAAGATGATGCTTCTATGTGGAATGCTGCAACAGTGACAGAAACTGGAGAGAAACTTAGGTGAGTGCTATATGATTTGATGCATTTTTATCCATGTTTTATAATCATTTAAAAATACTCCAGTAAAATACTGTTGCTTTGGCTTTTAATTATTTTTTTGTTGTATGACTACTTTACATATTAACTATGTAAATGTCAATGAACTTCTTCCATTATGCTTTATGATATAAAAATTGATACTTTTAAGCCTTTCCTCATACTTGCATTGGTAAATTGAAAGTGGTACAAGGGTTTACAAACATGGTTCTTTTAAGCTTAGTTTACTTATTTTTAACTAACTCTGAATCTAAAATCTTTGAGAAACATTTTCATACATTTCTTGTTATTCCTTTGAAAAGAAGGTATAGTAATAAATAATGAGAATAACAGAGGGATTTTGGATGAATTTGAAATTTACATCTTCATTTCTGAACTTGTACTTTTTGTCTTATCTCTAAACAAATCGTTTTTGGGACCATATTGTTTAATTATGATTGTGTATTTATGGTGAAAAAACACTTATAGCCATTAGCTGTTGTAAATCCTCTTTGATAAAGAATTAAATCAAAATGAAATAATAAGAAAAATGTAGATGAAAAATACTGATCTTCAGTTTGAAATTCAGGAAGGGTGAGGTTAGAGAAGAGCCATTATTATCCCCTGAACGTGCTCAAATATTTAATTTCTTCAATCTTTTTAAATTGTTTATTTCATTGTCAAGTTAAGAGGTTGATATAATATGTTCACTTGTGTGCATAAATGTCATTTGTGATGTCATAAACTTGTCAGAATTATAATCTTATTTGACACAAATGGGAAAACAGCCCTGCCCAAGAAGATATAGATCTTTGTACAGTATAAGACATCTTGCAGCATAATATCTTATTATATAATACATGATCTCTTATAAGAGTTATATAAATGACTAATGTTAATGACAAGATCTCAAAATGAGGCTATTTTGGCCTTTTTTCAGTTTAAGGTTAGAACCACTAATTTGGGCCCAGTCTGAAAGAACATACAAGAAAATAGTACATATTGAAACAAAATAGTTCCTACGTATAGTTGTAACTTTGTCAATAAGTAAAATATTTGGGTAATTTTGGTATGAAATGAAAGCTTAAGATCTTTGGATCACGGTAGGACCCTTGTTCAAAGTTTCTTATTAATAATAAAAAGGAGTATGAAATTTTGATAGGAGGGCACATTTGCCCTGTTGTTCAGATCAGAAATACCTGTTTTTGTACTTCTCTACTTCCTGGAACCAGTGTGCTCTAATATGCAATTAAAGGTACCAGTATGTTGAATTTTTCAGCACAAGACAGGGTAAGGTATAGTTTTGGCATGAAATGACTGTCACTTTATTTGAACTTTAATAAGACAAAATAGCAATGAATGCTTGAAACTGCAGAATTAAACATAGAAAGCTATGTGGCTATGAATTAGTGGTTTTATTCCTGAAATGCATAGATTTTGATAGTATGTTTTGTTTAAAGACAAAATTCAAAGGTATGAAATCAATTATGTGACCAGACTTAAAATGCCTTGTGAATATAAAGATGGAGAATGGTTATGAATAAATTTAGATGTATAGTACTTTTTGATTTTAGGATTCTATAGTGCACAAAACAGTGGTCTTATCATACCTTCTCTTTTATTGCAAGTATTTTCATAATTTTTGTAATACAGTGAACTGGAAGTGTATAAGGGAGCTACCATTTGATTTTTATGGATGATATGGGGGGGGGGGGGGGGGGGGGGGGGGTGTTAGAATGAAATTTAAAAAAAAGGCAGGACAGGAGTTATGAGCAAAAAAGAAGGCAGGATGACAATTTATGTAAAAAAAAGTCAGGATAAACTAATAAAAAGAAGGCAGGATCGAATAGAGATTACAACTTAAAAAAAGGCAGGACCGAATAGATTACAACAACAAAAAAATGCAGGACAACATTTTTCCCCATACCCCTCCCATAAAAATCAAATGGTAGCTTCATTAATAAAACACATATTATAAAACATACATTGACTTTAATATCACCAATTTTTTTTCAGATATATATTTCCAAGATTTAAATTATGTTGGACAACATTATTGGATTTAAAAGTTAGGGTGCCATGTCCAACTCAACCATACATTGAAGCAAACTATGGCAATCAGTGGCAGACACAAATAAAAACATGGGATTGGAAATCAAGTGCTCCTAATGTTAGACACAATGGCTACTGGCCAAAGGACCAATGGGAAAAGGTTATACAAATGTATGAGTAATAATATAAAGTAAGAACCAATGGTTAAAAGTGATGCATCTATGATGTATAAAAGAATGATTTGAGGAAAAAAGGTTGTGACAAAGTATGTACTGTCCAAAGAATTAGTAGAAAAACGGTTTTGTAAATGTATGATCAATTGTAAATATATAGCAATCTTATCATTGTGAGAAAGGAGGTTACTGATATCTATAAGAGTTGCTTTAACATTCAATATCCATGTAAAAACTAGCCTTTCAACTAAAAGGGGCATTTGTATCTTATCTAACACCTTACTGTTGAGAGATTGTTGATTTGAAGTGTTTGTACAATCTACAGTTGCTGGAATTTTAGACTGTTAATTTAAAATCATTTTATTGTTTTAAGATCTGTGTAAATTATCAAGCATGTAACCCTTCCCAAACATTTACATGAATAAACAAATTATAGGAAAGGTAATATGCTTACAAACATAAAAATGATAAAACAATAGCCTGTCAAATGTCAGGCAAAAATCTGGAGATTTTATTCTGAGATAAGTTTTTTTTTAAATTAGAAATTACTTCATTGTTTCTTATTTTAAAAGCAGAAGCTATAACTAGGTTTAAATCACATTTGTTAGAGTTCCCTTTTTCATTGACCCCTGGAAAGATATATTTATATAATTTGTATCTATTAATATCCCATTTCAGTAAATTTTTCATGATTTATATTAAGTAACATAAACCTCATCCAAGCATCCAAGGGATGTAATGGATGAGGATTATTCTCTGAATAAGCCGTAAGGCTTCGAGGGTTTAATTGGGAATTTGTGTCAACAAAGTAGCCACGTGCCTTTCTATTTAAAGAACTAATTTAAATAAAAAACATCCGGGTGACCACTCCAGGTAGTATATAACCAAGAGCGTGCTCCTGCCTCGTGCTTATTTAAAGTAATGATTTGTTGAATAAGGGAGGGTCAACATTACTAGGGAGGGAAATTAAACCCTCGAAGCCTTACGGCTTATTCAGAGAATAATCCTCATCCATTACATCCCTTGGATGCTTGGATGAGGTTTATATTCTCTATCATATAGCCTCCAGGCTATCTCATGTTTAATTGGGAATCTTTAAAGCCCAACAAATCGTATAACAAAAGGCCTTGAATAAAACATGATACCATCAATAACCTTTAATAAGGTAATCCCAAATAACATTATCCCACCAGAAAACAATAAATGTATTAAAGTTCAAATATACTGCTATATCATAACACTAAACAGTCAATAGTCTCTATTTCATCAATCAGAATAGTCACAACAGTGTCCATCCAACGAAATCATCACATCAATGTTCATCCAACGCAATTCTCATGTCAATGTCACTCCGTTCACTGCAAATATAAAATATTAATCCATGGTTGACAAAACATCATTAGAAAATGAACACTGCAGATCTCTATTGTAAAACTTGTAGAATGTTTTTGCATTAGTCCAATTTGAGGTTGTTAATATATCCTTCAAAGAAACACCAGATGAAACTACACATGAAGTAGACGCCCCTCTGTAGGAATGGGCTGAGAATATACTAGTATTTATTTCAAAACTTCGTTAAGCCATCTGGCTATAGAAGAAGTAGAAACTTCTTTATAAGTTTTAAAAGACATTAATAATCTTTCAGATTTTCTAATCTTTGAGGTTGTTTTTATGTAAAATGCAAGTGTATTAATAGCACACAAAGCCTTATCACTAAATTTATCTATCCTGATTTTTTGTAATTTTTTACCAGGTTTTGATGTTTTTGTCAATTCATCAATGGTGAAGACAACGTAGTCACCAAAATTGTCCAATAAGCTCAATTTTAGACAATTGAGAGTTTGAACTCTCTGAGCTGTAGATAAAGCAAGAAGTGCCACTAGTTTTAATGTAAGATTTTTTAAAGACAGCTCTTCTAATGGCCAGAATGTTTTCAAAAACCTCAGAACAATGCTTACATCCCATGTGAATGTGTATTTAGGCTTTGGTGGATTATCAACATATATACCTTTCATGAATCGAGAAATAACTGTACTACATGAAATCATTTCATTGTCACATAAAGACAAATTCTGACTTATGGCAGATTTATGAGTATTGATAACACTGTAAGATTTGCCACTGTAAGCAAGATCAGATAAGTAACTTAAAATTTGACTTTCAGATGGGTAACCGGGATTGATTTTCTGTTTATTACACCAAATAATTCACTTGTTCCAAACAAGATCATATTGCTTTGATGTTGAATTTCTCCAAGATTTACGTACGAGTTTAATAACGTGTTCTGAAAACCCCTTGTTTTTGAGGTAATTCCTGATACAGTACAGATGACTAGAAAGAGATTCTTGTTTATTGGATGTAATTGGTTGTTGTGAACTAGTCGTAATAAATTTTGAATGTTTGGTAACATTTTGGGTACAGAAATTAATAAATCTAGTAAATGAGGGAACCATGGTTGTGTTGCCCACATTGGTACAATGAGAATAGCTGTTCTCACCTGATCGTCTTGGATTTTCTGTAGCACCCGGCTGATCATGCTGAAAGGTGGAAAAATGTGTGGATTAAAATCTGACCAACTAATACTAAAAGCATCAGATGCCACTGCATCTGGTTCTGGAAACCAAGACACATAACTTAAAACTTGTTTATTAAGTGTTGTAGCAAACAGATCAATATCTGGTTCATAATATAAATGACAAATCTTTGCAAATACTTTTTCATGGAGCTTCCACTCTGTGGAATCACTGAAATGTCTAGACATATAATCAGCTGTGATATTAAGCTTACCAACAACATGAACTGCTGTGACATATATATTTCTCTCCTCACACCAGAGCCATATTAACTTTGATATCTTAAACAAGGACTGGATTGAAACACCTTGATTATTTATATATGCAACAGCTGATCTATTATCACTTTTGATACACAAATGAGTGTCATGAAGATCTTTGCATAAACTCAAAAGAGCAAAATAAACTGCTTTAATTTCTAAAATATTGATATGCAGACAAGACTTTTGTTCTATCCATCTACCTCCTGTTTGAACACTCTCAAAAGTAGCACCCCAAACAGATTTTGAAGCATCTGTTTCTAAATAACAACTGACTTTCGATGGTCTTATGTCTTTTCCATTTTTTATGTTAATATTTTCCTGCCACCATTTAATTTCTGTTTGTGCTTCATGAGACAATGACATTTTTGAATCAAAATTATCATTATTTTTTACCAGACAGTCAACTTTATCTCTATTCAAAAATCTAAAAAACAAAGCACTCAGTCTCACTGCATTTCTGGCAGATGTAAATAGACCAATTAAATGAGCAACATTTCTGATTGTAAGCTTTCCACATGAAGTAGCTGTTATAACATCTGAGCAAGCCTTCAGCATTTTTTCAATTTTTTCATCAGGTAAATATACCTTAAATTCCACTGAATCAATTAAGTGACCTAAATAAACCATCCTAGTTGATGGAATTAAACTGGATTTTTCATAATTTATATAAAATCCTAAATCAGACATCATTCTTATTATGATCTGCGATTGATTCAAACATTTCTCAACACAATCTGCTTCAAACAGTGAGTCATCAATATAATAAAAAGCTGAAATGCCTAGTCTACGAATTTGTGCAAAAATAACCTTCATAAGTTTTGTGAATACTCTAGGTGCACATGAAAGACCAAAACATAAACAATTGAATTTATACAACTTTTTATTCCATTCGAATTTTAGGTATTTCCTGTTTGAAGGATGTATTGCAAGAGAAAAATATGCATTCTGAAGATCAAAACTCACAAAATAGCTATTTCTTTTAATAGATTTCAACACTGTTTCGATATTTTCCATTTTAAAATGGTTGTATTCAATAAACTCATTTAACCTTTTTAAATTAACAACAGGTCTGAACTTTCCCCCTTTTTTCGTAACAAGAAAAATATTGGAAATAAATTCACCCTCTTCATGTTCGCATTGAGATATTGCACCTAATCTTAAAAGATCTGAAACTTCCTGATCAACGATATCATTTCTATCTTGTCCAAAATCTATCACCTTTGGTGATGAAATCTGTAATGGAGTCTTAAAAAATTCTATTTTATAACCTTTAATGGCATTTAAAATCCATTCATCTTCAGTAAGCAATTGCCAATTTTGAAGTTTCTTTGTTAAAGAACCCGCTTGAAATGGTATATTAACATAATCAAAACTTACTTTAGATTCTAAAATTTTCCTCTGTACGAGCCCCTGGCTCTGTAGCCTCAGCCTCTGCCTCTGTTTGATCTCCATGATTGGCCTCTGTTCCAATATAAACCTTGGGGCTGATTGCTTTGGCCACCTCATCCCCAAGGTCTTCTGAAGTTTTTTGAACCATTAGAGCAAACCTGACAGTTAATTTGTGAGGCTTCATTGATCTCCTTCATCCTCTTCCCAACGTCATTTGGAAATAAGTGCTCCTCTATAGGATATGAAGCAGAACATAGCTGTTGGAACTTTTTGGATACATAGGGTCTAATGAAATACCTCCGTTTTATGTTAATCTCAAAAAATGCATTACTTGCCAACGCAATGCTTTGCGTTATGAGTTGTTTAAATTTGGAAATGTCAATCTGATTGCCCTTCAAAATTTCTGCCATTTGAATCATAGGCACAATGCTTAAACCCAAGATTTTCTGAGCTTCCTGTAGAGATCTGTCTCTCTGTTGTATGTTGGAATATAAACAATTCCATATTTCAATGTTTATAGTTGAAGGGATTAACGACTTGCAATTGCTTGGGACCTGCTTGTCCTCTAAAAATTTACTTATGTCCGCCTTGCATGTACATGCATAATAAACAAACTCTGCCAAACTTTCTGTGACGGGGTCTGAAAATTTGGTTTGATCTTCAAAAATCCTTGGAAGTTTAATACCTGCTGAATCAGCATTAATAATTTGATTATCATTGGGGTCAGTGCTTGAAAAAATATCGTTCATTGAACATGCATACCTCTCACTAGCAGGTTCTTCTATATGCTCGTCGTCACCTTGACCTTGCATAAAATCAATTTCCGGTAAATTTCCGGTCTGGCTAGTGCCTGGAACCTGACTTGCACAAGGCATTTGTGCATTACTAAATTGTTGAAAAAATGTCTTCAACATCTGAGATAGTTCCGATGAATCGTCTTTACTCTTTTTAGCTTTAGTTTTAATAGGAGCACTTACTTTTTTCCGTTTCAACGGTGCCTTGCCTTTGGTATTCTTGCCAGGGCCTTTTTCCGGGTCTCTTAGCGACTATTTCCTTCTCAGAAGGCTTCTGTTTTGTAATATCACGACCACGTCGTGAATCATTAGACCCTTTTTTCGCCACTTTATTAGGCACTACTAAACAAGAA